ATGGGTCATGATAGTCCCCGGGCGACACGCTAACACCTTACGGGCACCACGCACAACATACTGAGCGTCAGAAGCAAACTCAACGTCACCCGAAGTGGCCTGGAGGCACAGCCGGAGGGCAGCGGCTTCTCCGTAGGGTACCGTTTGGTTGTGGCTGTCAACATTGGCCACCATGGTGCCAACGCAGCGCCACTCAGTGTGTTCGGCATCCCATTTGACTGCAACAACAGCATAGCTGACCTTCCGCAGGCGACGATCTTTAGTAAAAGGCCCACCCGAAGCATCGCCAGCGAACCGAAGACCTTCAGTGGGAACAGGGCGCCGAATGAAGACACCAGTGCATTCAAGACACAACTGCGGAAGGTTCAACATGGACGTCCAACCCGCAGGAACAAGACAAGCTCGCCAGAAACTGGCCTGTTTGCCAGGCTCACGAAGGAAAGGCTCCCAGCTAGGACTGAAGGGGGCAGCAACAAGTTCACGCACTGGCCTACAGTCAAGAAGCCAATGATGCAAGCTCATGTGCGCACCGCACAGTGGGCAAATATCAAACAGCATCGACAACTTCGCCAAGTGACCTTGCAAGATTAAACTGACGCTGTTAGCGCTGCGCCTCTCACCCTTTTTGAGGAGCTTCTTCACGAGGCGTTTTGGCACAGTCAAGTCAACACCGTTTGCAACACCTTCAAAAAGAGAGGACTCACCGACTTTACGCCACTGTTCTTCAGCAATGGATTCGGCTAACGCTTGCCAGATAAAACTAAGCGCAAAAGGGCAGGCGTAGTCAACCTGCCAAACTCGGCCATGCGGATCCAACCAACGATCAACGGCAAGAGGGTTCCAACCATGATCAAGCAACAACGCCTGGAAAGCAGCCAAGGGACCCTTCACAACCTGCCAGCGATGCTTTGTCCGACTGAGCACGCACAAGCTCTGCTGCCAAACAGTTTCAAGAAATCTTCTCGTACAGATTTTGGCATTTCCAGCAAGTCGCATCCAAAGCTGCAGCTGCTGTTTTGCTAAGTAAAAGAGGGGGTCTTGATCCCTCTCCCAATGCAGCGACATGCTTATGTGGACGTTTCCAAGACCAACACGACTCCCAGTAACTTTCGCAGCAGTGCAACGAAGGCGGTGGACAGCACTGGGCGAGGTACCTAGATGCTGTTGGCCCCAAATTTGGGCCGGGAACACATTGGTGCGATACAACCGCTGACGAGATCCACGTCCAAACAACCGCAATCGGAACAAGCGCTTGCCGGCCTTGGCCAGTCGTGACTTTTGTGCTGGCAGCCTGCGCTTCCGGGCTAGGGTGCAATCCAATCCAAGATCTTTCATCACGTCATACACCTTAGGAGTCTCCTCCGGCAGTTTCCGGAGCAACCGACGCAGTTCAGTACGGAGCTCTTTGCTGCTAACAACGAAACCACTTTTCTGAACGGACATGCTCAAACCGAGGGGCTGCAAGCTGCTGACAAAGTCTTGATAGCAACACACCATGTGTCTAGCAGCAGTTTTACAACAACGGTTTGCGGTATCCAAACCGATGTCATCCACCCAAGTGGTTATTTCATGAGGACGCTGCCGCAGGGTCAGGTCACGAAGCAGCTCCCAAAGATACATCTTCGCCATGGTGGTCGCATGCGGGCACCCCGCAATAATTCCCCGACAAGGGTGCAGCGGGTCACTGCAAATTTCATCGGCGACCAGCACTCGCGGTGCGGCGTAAAACAGGAGGCAGTGGTGAAGAACCAAAGGTGGGAACCCCAGGTCAAGAGCCTTGGATGCGAGGACACTCAAGTCAATGGCATCATAAAAGTGCTGCAGATCGGACAGGAAGGTCGCCATGTGCATGCCAGCGACACCGAGGATTTCGGCCTTGAGCTGGCGCTTTGAAGCAGCATCAAACACAGTGGATCCCGCAACAGCGTGATCCCACGTCGCTTCAACACCTTTCTCTTTTTGCCAACGCTGCACAAGGAAACGACGCATCTTGCACCAAGCCCGAAAGAAAATCGACAGTAATCCTATCGGTCTTTCAGCCTTCAGGGTTTTGGGCAGGCAGGCAACAAGAACACAGAGCATTTGTTGGGGCCATCCACCTACATGCTCAATCCGACCATAAAGCCACGCTAGTGCCGAGAAGGCCTCAACGGGCAAAGACTGCAGATCTTCGAAATGAAAACCCTCTAGGCCCGGACGCTTCCTGGCCATTTCATGAAAGGTAATGCTGATCTGCCGACTGGACAAGGGCTAACTGGGCGGCTTGCTCACTTGCTAACTGTTTGAGATGCTCAAGTTGCGCCTTTGGGAGGTGGTCGCCTTGCCGCTCTCCCCAAAGGCCAGCCCAGTACTTGGGCCTAGCAGGAGCCTGATCCGTGAGAGGCAGCCGCTCGTATGGCCGAAGGGGCACCTGGTCTGACTTTTTCAGATAGCGGTGAGCCTCTCTAGCGGCCCCAAGCACAGCCCGAGCTGCCCAATTGCGTATGGACTCGCGCTCATCCTTCAAGGACTGTTGCTGAGCAGCCTTGGCGATCGTTTCAATTTGTTCATGCGCATCCTGTCGCAGCTGCGGGCTTGCAGAAAGCCAATTGTACACGACCGCCTGGAGGCCTGGAGGCTACTAGCGGGAAACCGACCGTCATGCGGCAACCAACGCACAGTCATCAAGGGCACCATGCCAACAACACGATCAAACACCTCCGCGGCCTGGCCGGACCACTGACCTTTTGCGAGGGCGGCATTCAAATACCCACACCATCTAGCGAGGATCATCCAAAACCCCACGGTGCTATCTTTCCAAACCTGGCCTTTAGTCTTAACGCTCACCTTAAGCTTCTGCGTGAATTTCAGATTGCAACCTCTGCCCGTCTGTGCAGGCTCAGGCTGAGTGGCTTGCAGGTAACTCTCCGCTTGCTTGGCCCATGAGGCAAATTCGCGACTAAGCTCACATGAGCAGCATGGGGGTTGGTCCACTCCAGGCAACCACTCCACATCTACTTCGCGCGCAGCATAAGCTGACCACGGAAGGGTTGGTCCTTGGAACTGTACAATGGGCTTGTACCTAGTTAACGCCGGGAGCAACTGCTGCCCAAACTCCATGGAAACGTTCACCTGCAGCAGGAAATGTGGTGACCACGGTACTTCGTTTTCGGCCTCGACCCTACAAGACCCATGCAGTCTGTTATCAAGGATGGCGAAATCAATCTCACGACCACCAAGAAGAGTAGGACCTCCAGTTACGAGCAACTCTCCCTGAAGAAGTCTGGGGAGTCCAAGGCTGACAACATCCTCCGGCGTGGCATTCCAATCACCAATGGCAATCCAAGCACAACTCAATGCACGCACTGCAGCCATGAGCTCATGCAGAACATCACTGTTAGGTGGGTGGTACAGCGGGGTGTCGACTTTCAAATACACCGCAAAGATTGCAAGGTCGTGCCCATGCAATCGCATAAATTCCTGTGTCCAGCCTGCGCCTTGGACCTGGCAGCTCAATCCTTCAGTATGGTCCAGATGGCGCCGTACCAGGATGGCTGTACCTCCGCTGGTGCCTCCTTTACCCGTTTCCATAGCTGCCTGGCCATGCACTGTCCAACCACTGTGGTGGAAATCTGCCCTGAGTCGTTCAAGACTGGGAGGTCGCAAATGGTGTTCCGCAACCATCTGGACTTTGACCGTTTCACCAGCCAGTTTGAGGTACTGCACAGCCTTGCTGCCGAGACTGGTGACATTAGCAAACCGAATACACCAAGCGTCAGTTCCAACTGCTTCAGCAGACTGGGACTGGTTTGATGCAGGCCGCCGCTGAGAGCCCACTCCACGCGCGGACCTGGCGCTCTGGCAGGCTGCGACGAGTCGCCTCAAGTTTTCTGAACTAGGTTGGAGGAGCAACCTCATGCACCGGGCTTGTATTTCAGGACTGGAAGGAACACCCAGTAGCCCCCGACCCAGCCGCCAAGCCAAGCTGAACTGGGTCCAAAATTGTGCGGTGCTTGGTCGGGACAAGGGCCTGCTACCCCAACCGGATACCGCCCAAAGGCGCATCACAGTCATCCGGGTCCGAAAAATCCATTCGGCGCTTCTTCCGGTGCAAGTCCGCCTGGGCGCACCGCCGAAGAAGTGTCTCCAAGAGCTGCTTCTGATCCTCCGTTTGGAGAGCCCCTTGCAACTCCTTAACCTGGTCCTGAAGCTCGGCATCAACGACCATGCCATCCGGCTCCCCTGGTCTGCACCCATACGGCTCGAGCTGCCTCGCAACAATCTGTTCGGAATATTGCTTGGTGAGCTCATCCATCTTCTCCTGGGCGTGAACCAAGTCCTCCTGAATTTTGCGCAACTGGGCTTCCTGCTTTTCCAGCTGCACCCTAGCCTGATTAACCCGTTGCTCTCCTTGGAGTTTCTTCTGACCGAGATCCCGTAGTACACCGGCTTGAGCTTTGAAAGCTTTGGCCAACACTGCATCGGGGTCGTCAGGTTGGGTTGTGTCGGGGCCGACCGCAGGCCGAAGCATCTGCTGGAGAGGCTCCACGGCTCTTTGGAGCTCTTCTGCCTTGTCCCCGCCAACTTTGCAGACTGCATCCAAGACTTCAAGCAGCAAGGTGCGGTAACTGTCAGGGAGTTGTGACTGACAGTCGTGCCCACGTGATGTGGCATCCTGGCCCTTGAAACGGGTGTTCGTCCCTGGCTGCTCAGACCAGGTGGCCTCCTGCTGCCGGCGGTGCTGCTGGGGCCTCCATCCCCATGCGTTGTATGCAGCTTTTCTTGTGACTTGCCGTGCACCGCGCCCCACCCAACTCTGTCGCCCCCCCATGAAGGGCTGTCCACACTGACACACTGGATGAGTTGGAAGGCGATCAGTGAACAACCAAGAATTGCAAGCCGCACACACGACATAGCTACGCTGGGCCATGGGCCTTGGGACACCTACCCTGCCTTGCAAGATTTCGGGCACTTGATCCACTGTGACTATGATCACTGTAGGATATTAGTGTTCCAGTGATGATGGTTACTGTGGTCGATACGCCCTGTACGACGACAACCCCAAATCACGACTGGACAACAACTTTTCCATGTCTTGCATCATGAGTCATGAGTGAAATCCGAACATATGCATCTTTTCCATTGGTTCTCATGTCCTTCATCATCCTCCATGAACATTACCACTACCACTGCTCCTAAAGCTGCCACGATGACTCTGTCAACTACGACTGTGAGCACCACTGCGACTGTGACTGCGACGAGGACGACGAGGACGACGGGAAATGACGAGAATGCTGGCAACGGCGGCAACAGCTAAGACGGCGATCCCCCCTAGCATCATCAGCACCAGGTAGCACTCACTAATGATGCTAATGCTGCTACCACTCTTCCTAGCTCCACTTCTACCAGTAATTACTTATGCTGATCTGAGTTCTCGAGGCCTTCAGCTCGAACTCAGCCTCCTTGCTCCGTTTGCACAAGAAGCTCATGGCTCGGTGTCGCAAGTTCACGTGGCCAGGTATGCATGGTGACTGGGATTTTTTGATCTCAACCGATTCTGTGTTCAAAGGCTGTTGGGCTTACAGGGTTGGAGGCTCTATGGTTTGAGTTCTGGATTCTGTGCCACTCGAAAGTTAGGTGTGGCGCAAGATTGCGCAGATGAACAAGGTTACCGACGGTTGAAGCTGCAGGGTTTTCGCCAGTGAGGGAGCTATCTTACCAGGGATGCCGATATGCTGCCGGGAGCCGACGGCCGGAGGTGGCACAAAGAGCCAGCTCAAGGCTCCGAGCTCCGATCCCTCCCCCTGTCGCAGACCTGCTCTACCCCGTAATGCTAAGCAAGAGCAACAAAGCTCGGGGTCTGCCGCAGACATCCTCAACAAGCGCATCTTTCTACGACGTCGGCGCTCACCGTGGATCGTCACCCTTCAGCCGCTACACATCGAATTCCGGGCACAGACAACAGCAATGCCTCATGCGATCTAGTGTTGCGCATGGCGCAGCGTGGGGAGTTTTGTGTTTTTTTGGGAGGCCGAATACGCTCATGTGCCCTGCATGAGAGGTCGCAGCTCTGGTAGCTGGTAGCATGCAGCTTCGACATTCTGACCGCGCTAGCGAGGGTATACCGGATACAAAAACTGAGACGGACACAGTCCAGTGCAAACCAGGACACAGAATTACTTTGAAAAATGCCGGCCATACATGCAAAGAAAAGGCCGGCCAGGCTGACAGACCGATTTCTCAAGCCTTAGAATTAGCTAGACTACTCGGCTCCATAAACATTCGGCTAGGGCCTGGCCGACCTGTTGAGTTCGAAGCAAGCCCGTTAAGGGCACTATAGGGTTCCATAGTGGGGCCCCTTCGAGGGTACTCATAAGGCTCTATAATAATGGGGTCGCCTTTAAGCGCGCGTGCCCTGTCCAGAGTCCTCGCTTAGAACAACCGCCCTCGGCTGGGGCATTCATGAAATGCTTACAACGACTGCCGAAAATCTGGCAATTCCCTGCCAAACACGGAAGATCGCTCTCGCGAGGCGGGCTGACAGCGAGCTTCTTCCACCGATATCACTCTGACTCTTCATGGAGCTCCAAAGACTCGCACACGGCAGAGCAGCGTATGGTCCTGCCATGAGGGAAACACATCACTCACCTCTGAAGCTGCTAAAACGTGACGATCCGCATGATCGGAAACGCAAAGAAGCCTAGGAATCCACTACGAGTACCAGCTGTCCCCAACAAGCTACAGCCTAAAGCCCCCGTGACAGCAGAACCCACCGTCCAGAACCTCATGACCGTGCATCGAAAACCAACCCTGCGAAGCCAAATCCAAAAAGCATAAAGTTTCACCTACGAACTGAGGCTTCGTTCTACGGTATGGCAACATTGGGGTAGGCTGACATAAGCAGTGCAGATGGCTCTATAACATGGCAGGCTTGAATCTTGAAGGCTTGTGTCTTCCGGAACCAGAAAGCAGAGCAAGACATGACTGAAGCAGCAACCGGATCTTTCTGGATCCCATGCACTTGTTGCGGTGCGGCACCTCGCCCCAGTTGCTCTCCACACGGATGCGAAGGCCCCTCACGTGACTGAGAACCTCGGCAGGTTTTGTCACGCGAACGCTCACCCAAAATGGGCCTAGAAAGGCGGCGAAAAGACCGTGCAAGACCATGGAACCAGACTCAAACCCCCGCACACACTATAACGCCTCAAACCCAAAATAAACCCTAAAAACCCTTAATTCCGTAACGCCCGAACTCTCTAAAAGCCCGAAGACCGGGGCTGAGTCGGAAACCGAGCCAGCAGTGCCATTCAGCGCAAAGACCTCCGAAGCCCCGGAAATGCTGAGAGCGGCTTGGCTTTCCCAGAGCTTCCCCCCCATGCACAGATGACACCCATATGATAGCAAGATGATATTAAGTTGAAGCTACTACGATGCTCATATGACATTTAGATGATGTTTTCTGATGTTGTGAAAGATACCTTTGGTGTCGTATGGCACAGTATGGTATAGTATAGCGCGTATAGTCCGATCTCACATCGGAGCGGCCTGACTTCGAGGTCCAGTCAGCTGGTACTCGTACGACCCCACAGTGATGGCGTACCTTAGAAGGGTGGAGGGGTTTAGGGTTTTGGATAGTTTGGGGTTTTGAAGGCAAACCCTAGGCCTGCTGAGTTTCAGGCAATGTCTCGTAACTGCAGAACCCCGAAATGCTGAGAGCCCAGACGGCTCCAAGTCGCCTTCGCTTGGCCAAACGTCGACCTGGGGAACAGAGGTGGCCTGACAGCCTCATGCCAATCCGGAACTCACATTGTCAGAGCCGACACAGTTTTTACGTGGCTCGCATTTTATAGCCTGCTGAAAGCCGTCACCACACACTTGGCATACCCAAATGGTTCAGTGCCGAGTCCGGAAATGGAGTCGACTGTGACAAACCCAGTATATAACCCCTATGTAACCCCATGGGTCCCTTTAAGGGTCCCTCCTTTAGTCCTTTGAGACAACACAGCACCCAGAGACAGACTACAGGCGGGTCCCCAGTAGACTCCTACACCCGGAACAAATCTGCCTGTTGTCAAAAGATAGGGCTCGGCTGTTTCCTGAAGTCGGCCGCTCAGATCCTTTTATTGACTCGAGTCGGGTTCCTTCTCTCGCTCACTCTTATAGCAAGCTCGCTCACTCTTATAGCAAGATTCGGGTTTAGGGTTGGGGGTAAGCTAGTACTAGTACTAGTATAAGATAAGATAATGTAGGACAATATAACATGGCATGGCATACCATAACATAATATAACATAACATCTTATAACAAAATATGATATAGCATACTACAACAAAATGTAGTATTTACTACAATATGCACTATGATATAATATAATACAATAGAATATCACATAATATTATGTTTTATTTTTGTATATATCATATAACATATTACAATAAAATATAATATATAATGCAATATAACAGAATAGTATTTGATATGATATGACATAGTATAATATGATACAATAAAACAGAATAGGATAGAATACAATATAATAGAACAGAATATACTAACATGGACTATGAAAGAAGACTGTAGTAGAAGAGGATAACATAGAATACGATGCAATATAATATAACCTCATATAACATAATAGAACATAATACAGTACAATAGGTTATCATGTACTGAAAAAGGTCATAAAGGATCATACAAAATACAGTGATATAGGGATGTATAAGATAATATAAGATCATGTAAGATGAAACCATATAAGATCACATGAGATGATGTAAGATATAAGATACTGTCAGGTCAAAGATAAAATCCAA